CCCCCAGATATTTATCAACCCCCCCGAACGAAAATCCGTCTCTGATACAACCAAACAAACGTCAAAATTGTTGTATTTTTCAAGTAATTCTATCCGTATGAATCCAAAACTTTCTTATTCTTGTCTATACTGGTACAGAATGTTTAAGATTATAGCTTACTTAGGTCTTTAGAGATTTCATCCAAGGATATTTCAATAGACTTATCACCAGGATCTTCTGGAAACATAGCTAAGAATCTAAAAGAAAGAATGTGGAGACAACTACAGCAAAACGACATTGCAACTTCATTCGATTAGTCTAATTGGAATAATATTGAGATTTAGGCTGATTTCCCATTCAAATATGTTTTTTGTTTGACGTTTAACCAGTGTCAATGTGCTCTACTGATTATAATTTTACTCTGTTCGCAATGCTTGTTCCCAGTTGTTGCCAAGTCTGGAACAAGTTGTTATCATCTTGTAACAAGGTTGATGAGGCCAACAGACTCGCAACAAGTTGTTCCAACAAGTCTGATATCGTCTGCACGTCACAAGTTGATGACAACAAGCTTGTAGCAACTTGTTACGAACAGCCTGTATTAGTCTTGTTGGGAATAACTTGTAGCAAGTCTGTTACCGTCATCAACCTTGTAACAAGATGATAACAACTTGTTCCAGACTTGTCACAACAACTGGGAACAAGCAGTGCGAACACATCCTGATATCGACTTCACAACAACCTTGTTACAACTTGTATGTGTATACCAGGTGGGTTTGAAATTCACAGACCAAAGATGGGTAGAATTTACGTTAGCTAGTGAATTATACCTCTGACACAGAAGCCCCAATGACTTGTCTTTCCTACTATAGGAGTTTGGTTTCTCGATAACAACTTCATCTGTCATATTTCCTGCATTGTTAACGAACAGATCTCTCTTTTTCTCATCTCGGTCCCGGATCGCTGGACTAACGACGCTCATTAGCACCTTGAGATTTGCAGTCGGGGTCAACGGATCATTACAGGGTGTGTTCTCGACTGTGGGTACTTTTGTCGGCGTCGAGTGAACCTCCAGTTGGGCACCAAGATTTTGACTTAAGCATCCAAATTGTTGTCCTTGGCTGTCGTTTTCCACATCGACTGTTGCAGACGACTCCGAACTGTCGCTACACTGCGAGTTCTCTTGTCTGTCCAAAGCTTGTTTTTCTGTGACGGCAATGGTCGAAAGCTCGGCAAGCGACCCATGCCTCTGAAATATCTTACTGGGGGGGCAAGGTTCGTCCATTGGGCTGTCCTCGACCGATTCTTGAATGTTCATGGTTAAATGTCTGGGCACAAAACTTACAGACTCTTTCGTATTTTTGTCGTACATGCCTTAAATTGAAAGAGAAGCCATAATTTTGTACATGTATTTATAAACATTTCAAAATTTATCTAATAAATTCGTATATTTCGCTAAAGCAATGCGCGCCATTTAATACGCGGCAATTGACAGATGAAGGCTAAATTCAGAAATACACCAGCAAGAAAGTTTAATTTATTTCGCACCGAATACAAAACTAAATATAATGAAGGGAATTAGTATCATTTTCTCCAATTTTATAACTAGCAATCTGATGAACAAGCGGTCAGCCATCAATAATACATATATGTTTATATATCCTCGTACTGTTATATAAATGCATTTGGGACGTATTTTACCAAATTTCTTGAATTTATAAAGAGCTACAGAGTAATATTACATGTTGTTTCTGCGTTGTAATTCCCCCTGGGAATTGCTATTGAATAATATATACAAAATATCGTGATAAAATATACAATACGGCTCGCAATATGGCGTCCCAACGGGCAAATTTGCAACGAAAATAAAGCGGATACAATAGACTTTAAAACTTCAAAAAACGTCAATAAATACTCACCTAAGTTATATTTATTTTGCATAAATTTCTGTATTTTTATTCCCGAGAAAATACGATATAATATCCAAATTTAAAATGCATATTAAAGTCTGCCAAATGCCTGCTGTCGCGCCTACAACAGTTGATTTTGGCGCGTTATTTCCGCGGCATTTTTCGGTTGGCGGTTTCCAAGGTGAATTGTCCAATGAAACAAGGAATCGGGATCAACCAATCACGCACGAGGAGTTGAACAGATTGACCAATCAGGATCTTTGTTTTAGGTCTCGGAGGAATTCAAATTTCAAAGTTCAGACGAATTGAGCCGCCGACGCATTTCCTGTTTCGTCCAGTTGTTTACTTAACAAATTTGTCGCGTACTTCTTCTTGCGCGAATAATTTGGATCGTAATGCATCCATTTGAAAATAAATGTTTTCAAAGAAATTTTAGAAGTAATTTTTATAATTATTAAAAAATTGCACTTATTGCTTTATTATAAAGACTACAGGCTTTGCACTAGAAACGTTTTGTTTCCTAGAAATTAAAAAAATATGAAATAAATTGAACGTTCTGCAATTGAACGTTTTTAATATGAGTTTAATATTAGAATTTCAGCTAGAAATTCACTAAAAATGGAAGCACCATCTTGAAATTGACAAATTTATTTTTACACATGGCGGGCAAAGAATGTATGTATTTTTTTGAATTTTTCGTGTTTTTCTTTTGTTTTCTTGCTGCGATCGCGTTTGATTTGCAATGATCATTAATCTTGCTGTATATTTAGGGTCGTGGCGATCGTATAAGCGGTTATTATCCGTCGTGGAAACGGCTATTCTGAAGAAACGTCCGGAAGCTTATTATGATCTAGATGGGGTACTGAAAACATTCAAATCGGAATTGCTGTCTCCTTTGAGGAATCCGGTAAAAATAGTTTTTATTGTAATGATATTTTGAGCAGGTTTGCTCAATGGAGCAATCGAATTTTCCACTTGCAAAGAGCTATTTCTCCAAACCTCAGATCAAAATATCATAACAACATTTCAAATTTACTTTCATTTATAGTATTTTTATATACAATTAAGCGAATTTTGTACATTAAGCTTGTTTTCTACCAGATGACTTTTTTGTGTTGTACAAAGCATAAATACAATAAGCAATATGATTGGTTAGGATCAGTTTTTGGCGATTGACTGATTATGCCACAGTCGGAAATTACCAATTTATCTGATGGCAATTTTGTAATGACATAAATATGTTAATAATAATAATTATTTCATGCTTGTGATGTTACTCTGAGTGTATATCCACACTGGGCAAGCTTGAACAATATGCCTGGCCACGGTGGAAATCGAACCTACGACCTTTGAAATTTACGAGCATTAATACGAGCATTGGGCTAGTATTCCAAAGGTTGTAGGTTCGATTCCCACAGTGGCCAGGCATACTTTTCAAACTAGCCCGGTGTGGATACACTCTCAGAGTAACATCACAAGCATCTTATTTACCTGACTCTGAGTACATAACACCAACACAGACGAAAGTAATTTCATCCACATGTTTGTCAGAATAATAACATGAAAAATACCAAGCGTATTACAGTTGATTTCACAGAACTTTTCTGTGAATGTTGCGAACTTCGTTCCGAACTTCGTTGTGAAGTTCAAAAGTTTGTACTGAAATTCACAAGTCAGTTTGTAAACAAAGCCTCTGATTGGTCCCTTAACAAAAATAAGCCAATTAGAAGCTTTGTTTACAAACCGGCTTGTGAATTTCAGTATATGAACTTTTGAACTTCACAACGAAGTTAGGAACAAAGTTCGCAACATTCAGGGAAAAGTTATATGAAATCAACTGTAACATGAAAATTTTGTAGGGCTGGTGGACATTGCCCGAGGATAAATTGATTTGATTTTGGTCAAATTGGATGAGAAATGATCAAGCTGATTTAGTTTGTCTTGGTTTTGCTGAGCAGATTAAGCTGAATGCATGCAATGTAATTTGAGTGCATTAGACCCTTCATTGGGACGAAATTATTAGCCCATTGTTTATTTTTGCATGATACATAACTTGGCACGTAGTCTCTGAATGCTCCCTATATAGTTATCATATACTGCAACAACCAAAAATAATTCACCAATTTTAGGCCAAAAATGACACACACCGATCCGAAGTGCAACAGTCGACAACAGTCGGCATCGTAGTGGGCGGCCATGGAGAAAAACAGAAGTTCCCAGCGCAGTTTATCAAAGAAGCGTTACTACTTAGCGACATCTTGAACATGAACGAATTAGCCGCTGTTGAACTGCTGTTGGTGAGCGAACAACAGAAAGCTAACTTTCCTGGCCAGACGAGAGGTAGGCCAGGATTTTTTTGTTGTGTTAAACACACACAATAACTCAATTTTTTCAATAGCAATTGAGTTTTGAAACTCAGTTATATCATCAAACTTTAACCCATTAAGCTGCAGAGCTTCCCCATTGACAAGTAAACTCGTCTAGCGTTAGACAAGTAAAAAAAAATTAGTAGGGTGCACTGGGGCACATTGCAGCTCAATGGGTTATATGGAGTAAGGGGCCATCTATTTTCACAAACATCATGCATCATTCGAAATTTAAGTTTTTTGTGGCAGAGAAAGGACAATAGATTTCAAATCCACTTGAATCAAGCCACAAAAACAAATTGTCTGGCATTAGGCAAAGTAAAATAATGAAGTAGGACACAACCGGGGGCATTGCCACTTAAATGATTCATGTTGGCTGACTAGAAATGTGCTTTATTGTACAATTATTGTCTAGGTCTTGTAGCTGTGTTGTTGTATCATGATGGTAGACGTTGCCTCCTGTCAGCTTTACGAACACTCTTGCAGTCTCGCGAAGGCTTGACATGGACTTTAGAACTTGACGAGGAAATGTCGGAACTTATCATGTCATTCACCAAACAAATTATCAACGAAGGTAGGTAGAGTTGGCCGATATATTGGTATTATCACGATTGCACTCATTCTATCAAAGCTGAAAACTTGGATGACAATATATCCAGGGCTTTCAAAATAAGCCGGCGGCCGCCTGAGCTCCGGCAGGTGCCACAAGGTTCACCGCCGGTTATTTTGCTTAGTACTTGAAATATCAATTCTGTTCTCCTTCCTCCATTCCAAGCTTTCAAACAAAGTTATTTTTCATCAACCTGCTCTACTTTATAGCCTGGTTATTTTCGAAAACGACATACTATTTCGTAAAACTGATTTAGTTATTTGCCATCTTGAATCTTGAAGTTACCTTGTTGAAGAATGAAAGTAATGATACATTATAATTACAGAGCTCAGTTGTGTTGCTATATCAATATACACTAGTTAATTTGGATGACTTTAAGACTCCCTAGACCACCCTCTCCCAACAGCCGCCTACTTTATCAAAACAGACACCTACTCAGAATAATTCTGAAAGCCCTGTATATCATCTACTTGCTAGGTCTAATAAATGTATAAAGTATTCACATAGTGCCAGACACTTAATGAAATATTGGGGGAGGCTAGTGCCGAAAGCGCAGAAAAATTTTAAAATGCGTATCCTGGAAATGGCATTTCCAGCATTCTGAGAACACATTTTGTAAAAAACTAGGTTTTCAAAACACTGTTTTAATGGTGCGTTTTGTTATAAATCACATGCTAAGGACAGAAAACCAACATTTCAGAGAAAATATTTACTGATGATTATTTACATTTGTGAATGGAATTGCGAGGCGGTTTAATTTAATTAACATGCCAATGACAATGTAAAAATTAAAATTTATTTGCTAAGTGACTGAAATTTATTCGCTGCACACTTATTGTTTTCGGTAACATAAAACGGGAATGTTAATTGAATTATCCATTGTTTTTTAACATAATAGTTTAATACACATTTAAAGAAGTGCCTGAACATTGCAAAAAGTTGACGCCCTAGTATCCGTCAAAAAGAATGTATAAAATGTGTATGTTGTAACACAGGCCTTAAAATATAGGTCGGTCACGGACATTGTCCGACCCATTCGTGAAATTGTCCGACGTAGAGAGGAAACCACCGGACATTCTGTCCGACCAAAGTGAAACTGAGGTTTATTGTTTGTCCGACCCGAGTGTATTGGTGACCGACCGAACTGTAGCTTTGTCCGACGCAAATCAAAATGTACCCCAGCCCAAGACTAGAGGCTTGTATGTTAAATGGAAAATCAGAGTACTATCGTATAAAAGGTGAACTGGAAATGTTGTTTTAATGTAGTCGAGCGTGGGGCGGCGAGCGAAATGGTGAAGTGGAAAACGGGCTTAAGTTAATTGTCGAAGTCTTTTTTAACACTGCTGTTCTGGCAAGCAAAGTTAATTTTGGCTTGGAAATAAGAATGAAAGAAACAAATTATTTAATATCTTTACAACATTTACCGTTTATTCATTTGTGCCATTCGGACTTATTTCCGAGTCAAAACTGAACTGAAGGTCATCGGACATATGTCCGACCCAAACTCAACGTCACCAGACATTTTGTCAGACGGCCCTGTATAAGATATTTTAAGACCTGCAACATGTTCAGTACAGAAAGATGTATTATGATATTGTTTGGTATATGGCTTACTTTAGAGCTTATTTAAGTTTTATCAAATAGTTATTATTTAATATGACAATTACGTTAATATATGAGTGTGATTTGTGTTATTTGGTACAAGATTTTTACAGTCCCCCC